TTAAAACAACCCATCAGCTACAAAAGATTCTGAAGTTAAGAAGAAAAAGTATTAGGAGAAGATTTTCGGTGACTTATCACTTTAATGTTATTTTTACTAAAGCGTTAGGAATTGAGAAAATCCAAAAGGACACGATCTACCAATGTTTGCTAGGCGTTAGCCCATCTGCATAAAACTGCTTCTGTACCTGAATTTAAATGAAACATTTCCTCCACTGGAATTTTGAGTCGTAGCTCTCAGGGTACCGTCCGCGGAGCACCTGTGCTATTGATATCAACTAATATTTTTTTACAAACTTTCCGTATAACCTAAGTAAAAGATAACCAATAGTCTCCATTGTCAGAATACTTCAAGTGGTAACGAACAAGGATGCCAATAATAGCTGAAGAGACTGTTAGGTTTCTGTCAAACATATACTATTCCGCATTGTTTATTTCAAGCTTGTTATTTGTTTTGCGATGGTTTTTGTCAAGCTTGAGCTCGTGCACTTGGAATATGCACTTTACGTCCTTTTCCAACGACAACAAGTTAGCGATGCTGAGAACATTATAGGGTTCACTGCTTTGGTTCCACTTTAACACTTTTTATCGCTTAACGGAATATGTCAAGCTAGGTGGCGGTAGATCTTTTGCAGCGCGGGTCATTGTTTTTACATGAGGTTGTACAAATAAAGAAATGCGCCAAGACGAGACTACCTCCTCGGCTGGTTTTACTATAAAAGGCTCCATTGCTGACATAGAAACGTGAGGCAAAAGATGGTCTTCGAAAAGCATCTTGTGGCACTTGCTACTGCTTGCTCAATTCTGGCTATGGCTGCATGTCTGATCGTGATCCCATCGCTCTACAGTGAAATCGCCGAAGTTCACGATATGGTACGTTGTAAATTCAATAATGAACATTTTCGCATTTCTGGTACAAGCGACTGCATAAAGCAGCAGGAGAAAAGTTAGACATTAAAACATTCCAGTCAGTAGTAGCAGAAGCATTTATTTCCAAAAATTTATATGTCACAAAACTGCACCAGGTGCAACAGATTCATT